TATAAGTCACAAATCAATTCATTGATTACTAATTCACACATTATTTCCGCTCTTTTAACTCTCAATCCATTCATTCATTAGTAAATGAAAACACAATTAAAATCACATTTCATAACAAACAGCTGTTTATTGACGTACGCCTATAGAGGGCGCCAAACAGGTTAACCCATATTACAGTTTAACCCCGTTTTTTGACAACTTTTTTGTTCGCAAAAGTTTTTAAACATCAAACTTTTTGTAGACGTAATCATAAGTTATTTTTAAAATTTATTATTGATTTAATTGTTGTATTAATTGTTCGTTTGGATAATAATTATAAAAACTAATGGTTATTATGTTATGTATGTTTTTGTAATAATATTGTGTAATAAAAACCACCATTGATTAGATAACATTGTTATTGTATATTTACCACCATGTTCATTTAACTTTAAGTATTGAATTAATTGTTGTAATAATTGTTTGTTTCAATCATTTTGTGTAAAAAATGTATCAAATCTATAGCAAAGACTCTTTCGATAGATTTGGCGACGATTTGTGCGAAGAGTTGTTGTCTTTCCTCACATTTGAAGACAAATTGAGATATGAATTGGTGTCCAAACAGTGGAAGCGATTGGTATATAATAAACAATTTGTGTTAAATATTAACAACAATTTCATTAATTTAAATACAATCGAGAAAATACTGATAAAGTGTCCAAACATTACACATGTTTATCGTGAAGACAAACAAGACATTTATTTTAACGATTCATTAATTAATATATTTTTAAAACATTGCAAACAATTAATTGAAATGTATTATTATTTCTACGATTCTTCGGTTGATATGAGCGACAAATTTATGTCAAAATTTGCTAAACCTTTGAAATATATAACAATAACTGATTCACTAAAAAATGATGAAGTGTTGCATAAATGGCTGGAAATGTGTATTAATTTAATCGCAATTCAAATACCGTTTAAAATGTTACCAAAAACACCGCTTGTATTGAGTGCTGGAAATGATTTACATTATAAACGACTCAAAAGTATTGAATTTGTATTTGAAGGTAAAAATCTATTTCTCAATGAATTAAATGCGTTTGAATTGTTTGCTCACAATTATAGACATAATATTAATTCAATTGGATTTGTTTTTAAACACATCGACAATAATATGGTTAACAAATTGTCTGATGTTTTATACAACAGTTTATCACAAATGCGAGCATTAATTGCTCTAACATTCAGTTTAACGATAATAAGCAATAAAATTGTTTATTTTTTGTCACAAATCGGTCTCAAATGTCCGCAACTCAAGAGTCTTAGCATTAAATTAAGTAATCATACGTTTAATGAAGAATTTGCTAAAATATTTGCCCAAAACTATAATCAAATAAAACGTTTGAAAATCATCGGAAGGTTTCCCACAGAGTTGAGCAGCAATTCATTGAAATCATTGAAACGATTAACACATTTAAGTATAGAAATGAAAAATTCACAATTTATTAAAAACATTTTAAAACACAATTTCTTCGCTAATATTCACAATAATTTACCACAACTTCTGGTTTTGAAGATCAATGGAGTGATAATAACGGATGAAGTGTTGAATGCATTGTCAAGACTGACACAAATCCGTTGCATTCAACTCATGGGCGATAATAATAGCACACAATTGGCTCGAAATTATCTCATCACTAATTATCCTAAAATTAGTTTTAAATTAAATGAGAAATAATTAATTAATTATATTATTTGGAAAGTTTGTTTGTTTTATTGAACATGATTTTCATTAAACATAAAATATGCTTATTATTTGTAACAACAATTAAAGCTTAATTTAAATCACATTTTTATTAAAACTTAATTTTATTTTACATCTGCTTTAAAAAGTTATAATTAACTAAATGTACAGAGAATTAAATTATACGATTGGATGACATTATCTTAAGGGAGGAGTCAATAGAGGGCGCAATGAAACCACATTTCAGTCCACTTCCGGAACACAGTTTTGTTGGCAATTGTTTTGATTGAAGACAAACACGTGTTTTGATTGAGTAGTGATTTAATTGTTGTATTCATTGTTTTATTCATTGTTTTATTCAATCATTTTGTGTGAAAAATGTCTCAAAACTATAGCAAAGACTCTTTCGATAGATTTGGAGACGACTTATGCCAAGAGTTGTTGTCTTTAATGTCATTCAAAGACCGATTTCGTTGTGAATGTGTTTCAAAACAGTGGCAGAGATTGATATTCAATACACAGTTTGTGTTTAATATTAGCTTTGAATACAATATTGGATTTAATATTACTAATAAAAATAATTTGAACAAAATTGAGAAAATACTGATAAAGTGTCCAAACATTACACGTATTTATTGTGAAAACAATGGCAACATTTATTTAACCAAATCACTAATTAATTTACTTATAAAACATTGTAATCATTTAAATGACATTAAATACCGCTTTGATTTGAGGCATTTGGAAAGTGCCAAGGTGTTTGTGGCACACTTTGCTAAACAATTTAATCATAATAGTATATCACTAAATGGTCTAGATTATATGGATGAACCACGAAGCGGTTTGATGTTTGAAATGCTTGAAATGTGTATTAATTTAACGACAATTAATATACCGTTTGAAGTGTTGTCGAAAACACCGCTCGTATTGAGTGCTGAAAATGGTTTGCATTATAAACGACTCAAAAGTATTGTTTTGGTATTTGATCACAGTTTGGATGGCAATGATTTGTCAGCATTTGAAATGTTTGCTCACAATTACGGCCACAATATTAAGTCAATTGGATTTGACTTCAAATACATCGGCATTAATGTGAATGACATGCTCTCAGATGTGTTGTATAAAAGTTTGTCACAAATGAAGGCATTAATTGCTCTTAAATTCAATATAAATATAATAAGAGATCTCATCATCGATGGTGTGATCAACGTTGACGATAATTTTGTATATTTACATCGTTTGACAAAAAGTGATAAAATTGTCTCATTTTTGTCACAATTTGGTCTCAATTGTCCGCAACTCAAGAGTCTTACCATTAATTTTGATCCGTGTTATACATTCACTGAAGAAACGGTTGAAATGATTGTCGAAAACTATAAACAATTGAAGCGTTTGGAAATGTTTGGAAGTTTTGATAAGAAAGTGACGACAAATACATTGAAATCATTGAAACGATTAACACATTTGAGTGTTGAGATGGAAAGCGGACGATATGTCGATAACAACGAGTTTTTCGCTGATATTCACCACAATTTGCCACAACTTCTGGATCTGAAGATCAATGGAGTGATGATAACCGACGAAGTATTGGATTCAGTGTCAAGACTGACACAAATCCGTTGCATTCAACTGATTGGAGGCATATCTGCTTCGTCTCCAGATATAGAGGACAACGAATGCTTCACTAATTGTCACAAAATTATTCTTAAATTAAATGAAAATTCTCCTCAAAATGGTTACAATGTCTTAACACATGGTTTTCATTAACTGTAATCCCTTTCAAATGATATGATTTTGTTTTATTGTATAACATATGCCTTATTGTGTTTACTTTGATTAAGTCTTTCATATATTATAATCTTATCGAACAATATCTTAAATTTAATGTCAAATTAAAATAATTGAAACAGATTTTGAAATATAGCAATAATTCAAAATAACTATTTTGTCTCAATTATCGGTATATTACTAAATAAATATTTTAAATATTCAATATTAAATATTATTCTTGCAATTTAAATAAATTTAATGTTTTATTGAACATCAAAATCAACAAATCGTGAACTAAATCAAGAATAAAAGGGAACATCACTTCACACGTGAAAACATTTTATGAACGATTGGATGACATTATTCTATGGGAAAACACCATAGAGAGCGCAATGAGACGACAATTCCAGTCATTAAATTTAATTACAAATGAAAATTACCAAATAATGTCATTAATTGTATCACAAAATCAACAAATCGTGAACTAAATCAAGAATAAAAGGGAACATCACTTCACACGTGAAAACATTTTATGAACTTCTCTGTGATGTCGGTTGAGATAGTTTTTGCTGGCAAAACATTTCTCGCAGCCATCCATTGAACACTTGTATGGCTTAACCCCGTTGTGATCGTTCACATGTGTGTTGAGGCGAACCCTTGTCCGGAACCGTTGGTCACACTCCGGCCACTCACAAGCGTACGGGAGTTCGTGACTGCCCTCATGTATGCGGACATCACCTTTGGTCACAAAACTTTTGCCGCACCCGTCGTGCGAACAGACAAACTCGCGGACATTCCCGTGTCTAAGCAGGTGACTGTCCAACGCTATCTGCGACTTCAAAGTGGCCTCACATGCGGGCCAATCGCACCGAAACGGCCGTTCAGTGCTGTGACTTGTCGTATGGCGCTTAAGATCTTTTCGGGTAAAGAAACGCTTCCCGCAGTCGGCAACGGAGCACACGAACCGCCGGTCGATCTCATGTCGCCATCGCTTATGTTTCGTGAGAGCCTCGCCACTGGTGGCGGCGTAACGACAGCCCTTGTAATCGCATCGAAAGTCTTTGGTCTTCGAGCGGTCGTCGCTGTGGCAGAGCTGGTGTTTCCGAAGCGCCCGCGCCGTCACAAACCGCTTCCCGCAGTCGCTCTCTTCGCACGCGAATTGTCTGATATTTAAGTGTTTCAGTCCGTGAATCTTGAAGTCGTATCTGTGGTTTGTTTCGTACGCACAGCCGACGACATCGCATCGGAACCGCTTGCGGTCCGGGAAGAGGTGTTGCCGCCGACGGTGGTCTCCGAGACTGTTCTTTGACGGGAACCGTTTGGAGCAGTCATCGCACGCGTACTGCAAATCGCCGGTATGTTTGCGGTGATGATCGGTCAGAGCGTCGACCCGCGTGTACGACGACTCACAGCCCGGCCATTGGCAGCGATACGGCTTAACGTCCGAGTGGACAGACATATGCCGCTTGAGTTGAGCCTTATTCATAAACCTCTTCGCGCAGTCGCTCTTCGGGCAGATTTCGGTCAGAAGTTTGTAGTGACGGTCCAAGTGTTGCCTCAGAGTATTCGTTGCGGTGGTCTCGAAGTGACAGCCTTTGAAATGGCATTTTAACACTTCCATCGGTTCCGATGAGTGATTTAGCCGCCGATGCTCTTCGAGTTGATCGCTCCGGACGTACCGTTTGCGACAGTCGTCGCAACCGTACGGCCGCTCATCGGTGTGTTTGGCCGCCACGTGTCGATCGAGATCACGCATAGACCTCGAAGTGTTCGTACAGTCAGGCCATTGACAGGCATAGGGCGGCCCCGGAATCGTACGGCCGGCCCCGCCTTCCGTATAGTGTCCACTCAAACGGCGGTGAATTTTGAGTCCCCTTTCAGTGTTATAACTCCCATCGCATCCGTCGTAATCGCAGCGAAATTGTCCGTCAGATCTCTCGTGACTCTCGCGATGACTGTCCAGAAGTGACTGTTCGGCGGCCAGAAAGTCGCAGCCATCGTAATCGCACCCAAACGACACGACAGGTGATCGACAGGACAGCTGTTGGTCTTCAGCTATAGTTAAAGTCTCGCCATTTTTATCAATTACTGACTCCTTGTCGTCACTCATTGTCTCGTTATTTGTGTTGTCAACACATCCATCACTTCCAGTGTCTATCTCTATCTGTCTTTCATTTACCACTTCTTCGGCGGTCATTAACTGGTCTTCAGTAGTGATTGTCTCCGATCGGTGGCCGACAGGTGTTGTCTGTGTATCCAATGGCCAGTTATGAGTGGTTGTGGTTTGGGTCGAGTGTTGAGCGCATCCATCGGTGATAATAGTCTT